GTTCAATTAATGTTGCCTATTATTACTATCATTAATACCCAATACCCATATTAAAAACATAAGCATAAGCATGTAATAGTATTTGCTTTAAAACTCATATTTCATAGAGATTTGAAAAATTATCGATAAAATTTGTTTTCTTTAAATCCTTGCATTATCCTATTGCCCCGCACACCTGTCCCCCAAGGCAACCACTGTCACTAATTTGGTGGGTATATTTTCTGTCACTGTTTCCTTAATGCTAGTATATATTTATGTATTTATAAAGTTTTGAAATTTTATGTAAATAGCACATGACTACACACATAACATCTAAAATATTCTTGTGTACAGCGCTGTGTTTACATCTTTCTGTGAAGTGCATACATCTAGATAGGATACCTTAACCGCATAGCAGTGTTTGAGGAATCAACTTCATTTCATTTACCAATTCCTTATTTTGACAATCCTACAAAAATTCTTTTGCCTCTCTCCATATCATACAAGTGAGAATTTCTTTGTGATATGTGCATGTTCAATTTTACTGCTTGCTGTCAACATTTGTTTCCCCAACAGAAAAATTAGTTGCTACCAATTACATGCTATTATTAAAGTATAGAATAAGAAGTAGTTCTGAAGTACCTAATAATAGTCATTCCATGATAACTCCGTGTGAAATCCTGCATTTTACATAGGGTATAGTATTTCCGTGTCTCAGATTTTCAAACTGGACTATAAAGTGCATTACTATTCACAGAAAATCCTACGGTCCACCTTGTTAGTGCTACCAGTGCCCCTGAAACTGCTGGTTCATTATCCTAATCCACAGATGTGTGTATAAATCCCTCAACCTCTCTGTGCTCATGTTCCTTATCCGGAAATTGGGAGGATAACAGTCATCTCCAGTGATCTGTAGCACGTGGGGGGAGTGGAACTTAATAAATATTTGGTCATTGCTTTGTAACCAGAATTTGCATTGTTATTGGAACAGTGGGTTTACTGATGAAATACAATCTTAAGAAAGTTTTAGTAACTTTTTATGTAATTATAGGGCAGAGAATCTGAAGGCTCTCTGGTCTCAGGGTGTGAGACAGAATGACTTGAAATCCTAAAATGTGGTTCAGCCCA